GTCGCCCTCGCCTGCATGTACTACTACATTGGCTGGGCGTCAATGGGCACCTTCGCCATCGTCGTCGTCTACATTCCCTTCCAGTCGATCATGGCCAACATTCTGAGCCGCTTTCGGTCGCTTTCCATCACGCTGACGGATGATCGCTTAAGGTTGATGGCGGAAATTCTGCCTGCGATGAAGGTGATCAAGGTAAGAAGTAACAGGAGTTTGAGAATCCCTTTTTAGAAAAGATCTAAAAATTTTTTATTAATCTTTTAAACAGATGTACGTATGGGAACGCTCCTTTTCACAGCTGGTGCACGTCGCCCGCAAGCTGGAGATCACCAAGATCCGCCACTCGATGTTCCTGCGAGCGATCAATCTCGCCCTCTACTTCGTCGCTCCGAAGATCATGTTCTTTATCTGCATCTTCATTTACCTGATCATAAACAAAAACAACGACAGAGAACGCCTCGATGCAGAGAAGGTCTTCGTGACGATGGCCCTGGTGGCTCAGATTCGTAAGTTGCAGAGCAAAAGTGTTTTGTTTTGATAAGCAAAAACATTTTTTAAAAATAGGTGAGGTCATCACCTACCTCTTTCCCATTGGCGTCTCCTGGGCGGTGGAGTCGTACATTTCAGTGAAACGCATTGAGGTAACCAAAACTTAATCACACAAGCGTTTTGTACAACAAAACCTTACATTATCACTTCAACAGGAATTTCTCCTTGAAGAGGAGGTGAAGGACTACCAACAGGCACTGCCTGCACTACCGACTAGTCAAGTGGATGAAGAAGATCCCCAGATCACCCTAAAAAATGTTTCCGTCACCTCTGACGACGGCAGCATCAGCATCCTGAAGAACATCACCTTCAGCGTTGACCCCGGCAGGCTGACGGTGATCATCGGCCAAGTGGGCAGCGGAAAATCGTCCATTCTCTTGTCTATTCTCGGAGAACTTCCGGTGAAGGGGGGAGGCACCGTTCAAGTGGGTGGAAAGCTAATCTACGCCAGTCAGGTTTGTTTTTAAGAAAATGTACATTATCACTTTAAGGACGCTCACTTTACACTATTTTTTAGGAGGCGTGGATTTTTGCCGGGACCGTCCGCGAGAACATCCTCTTTGGACGGCCCTTTGAGGAGGTTCGCTATCGGGAGGTGGTTCAGGTGGCCGCCCTGACCAAGGATTATCAACAGTTTGAAGATGGAGATCAGACGGTAGTGGACGATCGGGGAACATCCCTTTCCGGTGGACAACGGGCGCGAATCAGCCTTGCAAGGTAACGCACAAATAAGAATCCTTTAAACTCTCAAAACTCAAACACCTGTTTTAGAGCGTTGTACACCGACGCCGACTGTTACCTCCTTGATGACCCGCTATCAGCGGTCGATGCCGCCGTAGCGAAGCACATCTTTGAGCGCTGCATCAAGGGCTTCCTCTCGAAGAAGGTGGTGATTCTGGTCACCCATCAGCTGCAGTTTATCAAGCAGGCGGAGCAGATTGTGGTGCTAAAAGATGGAGCTACTTTAGCTGTCGGCTCTTATACCGATCTTCTAGCTCAAGGAATCGACGTTTTCAAACATGCAGCAAATGAGGTGGAGCTAAAGGCAGCGGCGGAAGCACCTTCCCTTCCACTTCTTGAACCCACCTCGCCTATTACCACCCCAGCGTCTGCGCTGCTCCGTTTCCGAGCCGACTCTATCATGTCAGAGGTGTTTCGCAGTAGCCGCGCGAGCTCTTTCATCGATCAGGGCACTGAAATCGGAACCGGAAGCGACCACGACAGCGTCTCCCTCGCTCAGTACGACGCCACCAGTATACTCGACTACATGGGAAGCCCCGCTCAGCGGACCACTTCCGTTTCCGCAGTGATTCCAGACGGAATCGGCGCGGCGGATGCAGCCGCCAAAAAGCGCTACAACATGGAGGCGGGAGATGCAGGTGGCGGCGGTGGAGGAGGCAGCAACAAACTAAAAATCTACTACGTCTACTTCCGGGCCGGTGCCGGCCTGTTGATGTTCCTCACCTTCTTCAGCTCGAACCTGCTCACGCAGGTGCTCTTCACCGGCTCCGACTACTGGCTCTCCGCGTGGACTGACTACCTGGAGCAGCGGCACATTGCAGAGGCAAACAACCAGCCGGCAGATTTCGTCCCGCAGAATCCGCTCATCTCCCAGGACGACGATCAAAACTACATGATCTACAGGTAGAGGAGAACATTTTTGGAGTTTAAAAGATCAAAACTTTTCTTAAACTTTTGTTAAACATTTTTTTCAGCGCCTTCGTCGCCCTCCTCTTTGTGGTGGCCATCGTCCGCACCCTCTCCTACTTTATCATCTGCATGCGCTCGAGGTAAAACAACAAAAATTTTAACCACTGAAAAAACTTAATCACTAAACTTTTTNAGATCAAAACTTTTCTTAAACTTTTGTTAAACATTTTTTTCAGCGCCTTCGTCGCCCTCCTCTTTGTGGTGGCCATCGTCCGCACCCTCTCCTACTTTATCATCTGCATGCGCTCGAGGTAAAACAACAAAAATTTTAACCACTGAAAAAACTTAATCACTAAACTTTTTTGCGTTTGTTTAGTGTACAACTCCATGACCGCATCTTTCGGTCGCTAATTCAGGCGCCCATTCTCTTTTTTGACCGGACGCCGGTGGGCGTGCTGATGAACCGCGTCTCCCGAGATCTGGGCATCATCGACGACCTCCTGCCGCCGACGGCCTTTGAGGCGCTGGAGATTCTCGGCAACTGCCTGGGCGTGTTCATTCTCTGCAGTGCCATGAACTACTACGTGATCATTCCGTAAGGACAACTTCAGCATAGGTTCTCTTATCAAACCTTTTTATCATCAACTTCCGCAGCTTCATCCTCGTCATTGTGATGGTCTACGGGGCGAGTAAGCTGTACGTGAACACCGCCCGAAAGCTGAAGCGCCTGGAGGGCGTCGCCCGAAGTCCGATGTTCAGTCAGCTGGCGAGCAGTCTCACAGGGCTGCCGACGATTCGATCTTATGGCGTGGAGAAACTGTTTATCAGTCGCTTCGCCGACACGCAGGACCTTCACTCGGCGACCTTCTTCACCTTCATCAGCTGCAGCCGCATTTACGGCATCTTTTTGGACGTAGTCTGCGCCCTGTACATTTATTGTCTCCTTTTGGTTATCGGCCTGCAGATGGACGTCTTTACCGGCTCGGTGATCGGCCTCACCATTTCGCAGTCCATTTCGCTTTGTGCTGCGCTCAATTGGGTAAGGAACTTTTCCTATTAAGGACTTCCGGTTTCACGTTTTTCACCATATTTCAGGGAATTCGTCAGTACACCGAGGTGGAGACGTACATGACCTCGGTGGAGCGAGTGGCCGAGTTTGGCCGCCTCGAGAAGGAAGATCTGGAGGCGAAGAAGATTGAGCCCGAGCCGAACTGGCCGCCCAAGGGCGACCTCGAGTACGAGAACGTGTCGCTCATTTACCCGCCGCCGAAGATGGCACCCGATCAGGCGCCCGAGCCGCCGAAGGCCGTTCTTCAGGAGCTTTCCTTCAAGGTGAAGGGCGGAGAGAAGGTGGGAATAGTCGGGCGAACTGGAGCCGGGTAAGATTTTTTCCTTCATCAAAACCAAAATAACTTTTAACTATCCTCTCTTCAGAAAATCCTCCCTCATCACCACCCTCTTCCGCCTCACGCAACCACTGGGCGCCATCCGCATCGACGGCATCGACACGGCCGACATCAGCCTCTCCCGGCTGCGAAAGTCCCTCTCCATCATTCCCCAGGAGCCGATTCTCTTCAGTGGAACCATCCGCCGGAACCTCGACCCTTTCGGCGAGGCCACCGACGAGCAGCTCTGGGACGCCATTGAGAAGGTGCAGCTGCGGGCGAAGATCACCTCCTTCCCGGCGAAGCTCGACACGGAGATCTCCGACTCGGGGGCGGACTTCAGTACCGGCCAGAAGCAGCTCATCTGCATGTGTCGGGCGATACTGAGGCAATCGCCGATTCTGGTGCTCGATGAAGGTAAGCGATAGGAGAAAGGTTCTTTTTGAGAAGATAAGGTTTACAACAAGTTTTTATCGTTTTTTTCCTCCAGCAACCGCCAACGTGGACATGAAGACGGACGCCCTGATCCAGTCAACCATTCGAACGGAGTTTGCCCGCCAGACGGTGCTCACCATCGCCCACCGCCTCGACACCATCATCGACTACGATCGAGTTCTGGTGCTGGACGCCGGCCGCCTCTCCCAATTTGACGCGCCCTTTGCGCTGATCGAGGCAAAGGAGGGCATCTTCTACGAGCTGTACAGCAACCTGGGCGCGGATGCGAGGGTTGAGCTGCGACAGCTGGCGAAGAAGGCCGCTCAGGCGAAGCGGTTGAAGGAGGAGATGTTGGGTGTGAATGTTTAAAAAGGAGGTTTTTGTTGAGCAGTGTGTTCCACTTCTACTTTGGCTCTCTGAAGGCAATCACATAGCGCTGACTGACCTCCTGCGGCGGCGAGTAGC